TCGTGTCGATTTTGCTGGACAAGGTGACGGACCCCGACGACCCCGCAAAAGTGATACGACACCGGCTGCTTTGGGTGGACGAAAGGAACAAGCAAATCGGGGAATGCGTCAACCTCTGCAGCAAGCACTGGGTCCTGCCCCCCACCGGGTGCGCGGCCCTGTGGCACGTAAAGTGCTTCGCGGTAGATAAGGTCGCGGTGGAGGAAGTGGAAGAAGAAGATGTGGCTGGTGAAAATAAAAAACCACCAGGAGATGTTGCCGACACAACTACGAGAAATAAAGGAAATACAACTTCCACTTACACCCAGTTCGGCGAGGAGTACGATCTGAGCGACGACCGGCTCTACTACCGGTACAGCAAGCGCAACGCGGTCCGGGCGAGGAGACCGGCGCGGCATATCTGGTTCAAGTTGGAAAATCAGGGCACTCTTGTAGTGTACGACGCGGACCCGTTCGAAGACAAAAATTTGTATTACCACCACGCCGCGGCCTGCTTGGTTCCCGGCTGGAAACGAGTGGAGGTTGATGTGGGTGGCGAAAATGCAAATAGGGTGAGAAATGAAAAAATAAATGCGAATGAAAACGGAGAGCTGGACCACGACCTAGTACAAGCTACAGAAGATCAAGAACTGCAAGAGCCGCCACAACAGCTTCCGAGTGCGGTCAGTTTCATGACGCTGCGGATGTATCACAGTGTGGGCGACGCCTTCACGTACTACCCGCTCGTGAATGATTTGCTCGCCCTTTATTCCGGGAAGAGGCTCCAGAGTCTGTACATGGAAGATCAACAACATTCTGATGTGGTCGGTGTTGACAAGAAGGAGCAGCGCCAAGGTGAGCGAGCTGCTAGTGCTACGGCCTCTGGTGAGAAGATCTCCACGACCCAGCAGTGTAAGAACCAGAGTTCTTCCATCAAACAAGCAGCAGGAGTAAATGAAATATCGGTGTACAAAAACGATGTTGTCGCAGGCGATCATGATCATCCGATGCACCACCAAATATTCCCCAAGCATTTCACCACGGAGGAGCTGCAGCAGAGACTTTGGAACGCGTTCACGGTTGACCCGGTTCATCTGGACATTCCCCGCGACCGCTTTTCCGTGGAACACCGGTACTCCTTACGTGGCGTGTCCTTCGCCGACCGGGGTCGCGGCCTCGACCACGACCTGTGGCTGGATTCGGACGCGGTGAAAGTGTTAAAACTCGTCTCCACCGTGTACGGGGTGCCGCTGGAAGTGGTGCTGGTGGGGTTGATGATGATGGCTGAATATGAAATGCAAACGTTTCTGGGTCTGGAAGATTGCGAGATCTGTGATGCAGCTTTTCCAAGCTCCACCAAGTCTGGAACGCAGGGCCTAGCATCACAGGTTCTGCAGCCCCTTGGTAATGCCTATTGTTCTGTATGAGAAATGCTCTCGCAGCATTATTAGCCAAAAATGGGCACCTTTTGCAAGGCATGCAATACAGATTTCTGTAGGATCCGCAACACGCATCACAAATTGCAACCCTCCAGAGCCAGACATATTTGCAATGCATACCGAAGCGCGGGCGAGTCGAGTGGAATATCTCGAGTCGACCCTGTACGTGCCGCAGCGAGATAGTAACCGGGATAACGACGCTGTTGGTATAAGACATGATAATTTAGTTGAGCTGCATCTTTCTTTTCTTGTTTCGCAGAAAAATTGAATACGAAGATAATTGTCCAAGTCCGTGGATGTCGAAGGTGACTCGACGAAAGAAAAAAGTTGCAAGTAGACGAGGCCTCGAGTTCAAATAAAAAGGAAAATAACCAAAACCACGAAAACAAAAACTTGACTTTCCAGGTCTCTTATCCTGTGCAAAAGTATCGTATTCGTATAAATGCAAGTCTTGCATTACAAATCTCTTTCTTGAGGCACATCCGCATTACAAATTTTATTTCTCATGCTGAGGAAATTTGTCATGCATTTATACGAGTGCGATACTTTTGCAGTTCATATCTCTTCGTCGACTGGCGCGACTTGGCGCTGCAGATTCCCTTAGAGTCTGCGACCTTCTTATCACAATGAAAGATGCCCCCACCCCGGGACTTGGGAGCATTTGTATTGCAAACCTTTCCAAATGAAACACTCGCCCTCTTGCTCTTGCATCTATAAGCACCACAAATTTCCAATGCTGAATAGCAAAAATTTGTATTGCAAAAGATCCCAGCAAGAGCGGCGCTTGTCATGCAAGCGATGCGATACACGCCTAGAGCTAGACTCTGCATCAGAAAGATTCATACTCCCTTCATGCATGACAAAAAGTTTTCATTTGGAAACTTTGCATCACAAATTTTTGCAACTTTGGGGGTCAAGGCATTTTTCACAGTGGTACTTCATCTCGGTTTTACTCGACCTTCACCAGAAGATCCGGAATCGCGACTGGCAGGTCTTCAATCCGGTGACGAGCCACGACCGCACGCTCGTGAATTTCCAGATCCTCGACAAGCTTCCCCGGGGCTCCCGTCCCCTCGCCATGACCCAGGTTCCGGACTCCGTTTGGTACAGCGGCAAAGGGGGGTACCGGCTCGGCGGCCACGGCCCGATTTCGCGCTCGTCCGGGCACTTTCACGTAGCCATCAAGCAGATCGCTGAGCACGAGTGGGTGATCGGCTTGACCATCGATCTGAAGAAGCACGACTTCGCGTGGCTGCGCAGGGTGATCCGGGGCTTTCAATTCGGGTTGGAAGCGTTGTTGTGTGATCCAACCAGGAAAGTGCACGTAAATAGTAAGATAGATGAACATCGTGAAAAACAACACGAACAACGGCAGGCTCAGGACGCGAGCAAGAGTACCCAAGTAGAAGACGAAGAGCATGTTGTCAATGCTTTCGACGCGATTGAAGCTAACTGGGAGCGCAAGCCGTGGGAAATGGACACGGAGTTTCATCATTGGGCTTCGAAAAAAGACGAGTACTACTTTAGCAGCTACAAAAGTTCTCCCTCTTCATCCGACTGGTGATGTGGCGAGGGAATGTCATCGTGCGAAGTAGAAGGTCTGTTTCATTCATCTTTTCGACAGTGTCTACATACAGTCCTGTGCTGACCTCAGTTTACTTTATTCAGTGGAGTTTCCTGCTACTTACTTTCAAATAAGACACATAGCGACAACATGTTGTTGTTGATCCAAGATGAAATATAGCGACTCACTCATATCTAGCGATAAAGAAGAAATGCAGCTTGGCACGCCCCAAGCTACCCGAATTGCCTCTCTTCAACTTCATCGGTACGTAAAATACGTATATGAAGTACTTCTTCTGCTTTACTTTTTTATTTTTTTCTGCGACCACGGAGTTGGCGTTTCATATCGGCATCGACTTTTATGAATTACTGATGAGATTTTCGTTTTCTACTGACAATGTATGAAAATGAATACGAAACAAATACACGGCACCGCTCCACGTTTTTGTAGGTGAACTTCAGGACTACAGGTTCCGGTTTGCTTACTAGCTTTAAACAACAGCTAACGAATTTATTACCTAGATCTTGGATGCCGCTTCATGCTGCGCTGGTACCGCTATTGCATGAACAAGACTTCACAAATAGAAACATGTTTCACTCGCAGCTCAGTCATTCCTTTCCAGGACGTGGACGAGGCCGCAAACTCGTGATGTAGTGTTACCAGAAAGAAAAAAATTTCGTCTGTGCTGGTAAAATTCATCCTCACATGCAGTAAAAATCGTTCTTCTCATTCTTTTCGTCATCCGTCGGATTGACCGCAACCAAGTTTGGTCAACCTGCTGCACCGTCCGTCACGTGTGGTCGTCCCGGTTGTATTGTACTTACTTTAAATGTATGACCGGGCACGCGTGGTCTTGCGAGCCTGTGAGTCAAGGCCGACAGTGGTCGGTCTATATTTTATGAGCGGGCTCAACCCGCCCATCACGGTAACCAAAACCTGAGTAGCATGAATATGAACCAGGCAGGGGCGCAGTTTTGCGTTGATTTTCCTGCTCTGTGTTTGACATGCTGGGTTTTCAGGGACTTGCGCCCCTGCCGATGGTAGCTTGATTGTGATTCGCCGAGGGTGATTAGAGCTGCTATTTTGCTCTGCCTTAGGCCGATTTATTTCCTCCTGATTTCTCCAGTTCTGGAGAGGGAGAGTTTATTTTCAATCCTAGTTTCGGATTATGATTGGTCTCCCCTGATTTCTCTCGTTCCGGAGAGGGGGAGAGAGTTTATTTCCAGTCCTAGCTTCGGGCTAGGTTGGATTTCTCCTGATTTCTCCCGTTCCGGAGAGGGAGAGTGGTTTTATTTCCAGTCCTAGTTTCGGGCTAGGTTGGACTTCTCCTGATTTCTCCCGTTCCGGAGAGGGAGAGTGGTTTTATTTCCAGTCCTAGTTTCGGGCTAGGTTGGACTTCTCCTATTTTCTCCCGTTCCGGAGAGGGAGAGTGATTTTATTTCCAGTCCTGGTTTCGGACTAGGTTGGATTTCTCCTGTTTTCTCCCGTTCCGGAGAGGGAGAATTGAGTTTATTTCCGGTCCTAGTTTCGGTCTAGGTTGGAGTTCTCCAGATTTCTCCCGTTCCGGAGAAGGAGAGTGATTTTGTTTCCAGTCCTAGAAGTTTCGGGCTTGTTTGGATTTCTCGTGATTTCTCCCGGTTTGGAGAAGAAGGATTTGAGTTCCCGTCCTAGCTTCGGACTACGTTTGATTTCTCCTGTTTATTTTCCCCCGATCTGGAGAAGGGACATTTATTTTCAGTCCGAGTTGCGGACTATGTCGGATTTGTGCGGTTTTCTCCCGTTTCTGGAGAGGGAGAATGTAACTCCGGTCCTAGTTCCGGACTAACTATGTTGGGCGTCTTCTATTTTCTCCAATTTTGGAGCGGGGGGCTTCGCCCTAAGTCCGGGGGTTTGAAGTATGCCCCAGATTTCTAGTTTCCAGCTCGAGGGAGGGAGGCTCCGTCCTGTTTCGGATGATTTCTTTGCGAGTGGCCTCCTATTCCCCCCTTGCGAGGAGAGAGTAGGGAATCCATTTCCCCTTCGGGGTCGATTTTGTTTGATTTTCGCATCCGTTTGTGATGGCGGAGTGAGTCTCTGCTTGATTTCGCATTTTTATTTGCCGCGCTTTCCCCGTACAAATCGGAGTATCCCCCTTGTGTCTCTCAGCGAGCGTGTTTCAGTCCTGTTGTTAGTCGGGCTTGGAGCAGTTTATCGCCACACATCTCTCGTGCTGGTGAGGGAGCATCGGCCGCGTTTATGCCGTTTCTTCGGGGGCTTCTCCACTCTCCCCGCTCGGGGAGTGGGTTTCTCTTGGATTTCCACTTGTGAGGGCAAGAAGTCTATTGCCCCAGGTTCTCCCGGGTGCGGAGAAGGATTTCAGGGTCTAGCTGCAGGCTGCTTTTCTGCTCTAATTTCCGGCTTCTGCCGGCTTTGGTTTTCTTGTGGGTCTCACTTTATTACTCATTTTCGAGATGTGCTTGCCCTTGCAGGCTTCTTTCTCGAGGTCTACTTGCAAGGTTTTGCTCCGTTGTATTCGACATGGGGCGCCATTCTGACCTTGGTTATTTTCATTTCAACCTTGCTCGGCTTTGTGGCACTGGCGGTTTGAATCCGTTAAACCTAAAAGAGGGCAGGCGCGAGATGGAAAGGCTAGGGATGCGCCCGGCGCCTCGTGCGCCGGGGTTTTGTTTTCGCGGATTCTTTTGGTTCCGGTTTCCGGGTTTCTGCCGTCCCTAGCTCCACGAGCCGAGTCGAGGGCTTGAGATGAAATGACCAAGGTCAGCGATGGCGCATGTGGCGCAGGTTTTCCCCTGTCGGGATGTTTTCTTTCAAGGTATTCCGATTCTCCTCTGGAGGGGGTGATCTTTCTATATGGAGCTTCGTGCCCCTATGTTGTTTGCCTGTGGTTTTAGGACATCTTCAGATCCCTGTTGTACAGGGTGCGAGGAGTGTTGTGTCAAGAGTCGATCCGGTTGCATCATTACGCAGCGATGTGGTATCCTCTTCCGAATCCTTTGCCCGCCTTTTTCGGTTCAGGGGGCGAGAAGTGTTAGTCCCTGGAGAGAGGAGGTCGTCGGGCGTTTTTGTTGGGTGTCTCATGTTTATCGGGCAAACTTTCGTATGTGTGTGTGAGGATTCTTGGCAGGATTGTAGGGGGCACTGCGCCTTCCCTGCAGGGCTTGGTCCTTTTCTTTCTGATGTCGCAGCATGCGCGTTGACCGGATCACAAGCATTACCTCGAGGTCCATTTGGCATGGTCATGGGTGTTAGTGTTTCTCGAGGTCCTCACGGCCATCGTCGCTGAGGTGGGTGTTGTTTGCTTACTGCTCCAGAGGCAGTCTTAGTGAGTTCGCGCGCATCTCCGGAAGGGTGTCGCAGATGACGGCTCCAATCTTTTCATGGGCTCCGGACTCTCTTTCCCTGTGTCATGGTGCCGGGTGGCTCCGAGTTTTCTTTGCACGCAGTGTCTTCGGAAAGGATCCCGCGCCGAAGTTATTATTTCCGTTTGAAACACACAGCTTGCGCGGGCGTTGTGGCCACCGCCGCGAGGTCTACTCTTGTGCTTTGGAAGGTTCCTTCCTGGATAGTTGTTTGGTATGCAGGTCTTTGACCTGGGGGCGCGTTCATCCCCGTGGGCTCTTGATCTGAGTACTTCTTGTTGCTCGATGACTTTCCAGCATTTCCCCGGCCGCATCCCGGCCGAGTTGTCAGGGTTGAGACCTCTTTCATCAGTGTGCGAGTGGTCAAGCGCACTACGTATCCGAAGTGAAGCCGGAGCTTCCGGGGAGTTATTTCCTATATTAAATGTTCTTACGCTGATTCTTGGGCAGCGCTTCTGCCACTAGCTGCTCTTGTGGTTTCGGTAGTTGACAAGGATTTTGCTAAGGGCCAGGGCGAAGGCGCTTTGTTTCGCCCTTTTGGAGCCTTGTTGGGATGCTGTGTGACAGTCTTTGGCATCTCAGTCGGTGTCGTCGCACGCACTCTTGCGTGTGGGGCGGCTGTTCGGTGCCCAAATTCATCTCCAGCTGGTGCCGTAGGGTTCTTTGGGTCGCGTCGATGCGTTGCGTCTCCGCCGGTGGGGTAGGCTCTCCACATGCTTGGTCGCGGGCGCCTGCACCTCCTGACTCCCGGAGCGCACATCCAACGATGATCATCCATAGGATGATCTATCCGTCGGAGAAGATGTTGACTAGATCATAAAATAACTTCTTTCCTCGAGTATGTTTTGGCCTACTGCGATGAAGTGTATTGTGAGCAACTGCGACTGTTTACCATATCCATACAAAGTTAGATGTCGGTAGTGCTTCTCCTCAATCGCACGTACAAGCAAGCCGAGCGAGTAGTCTGTGTCAACGTCCACCGGGCAGTTTGCCTTCTGAGGGGCGGGCAGGCTACTTATTGCCGGCACGCTGTGCCAAAAAGCTGAGCCCCCGGCGCCATTTTTCTAGAAGTCCCGGTCCCGGGCCTCCGCAGTTTCTTTAGATTCTGCGAAGAGAGGCCCATGCGCGAGACCCCTAAAAGGAGTTTTTTCCGGAACCCTCGTAGCAGTGGGGGAAGCTTCAAAAAGTAGTGTTTTTGGCTACCCCTCCCGGAGGGTCCTCAGCAAGGGTCTCGCAGAGGAGAAAGTTGCCAACTTCGGAAGACCTCGGCACATCTTTCCGCCGGCGCCCCGGGCATCCTGGCCTGCTTACGGACGAAGTTCGCATGGCCCCAGGACCTACCGGCGCTAGAGGTAGGGAGGAGAAGGCGTAGGCCGCTGCAGCCGGCCCCTAGTTTCCTGCTTTGCCAGCGTGCCCAACCCCTCCAGTTCGTTTTAGCTCTATCACAGCAAAAGCGGCCATGGCCTGGGAAGCTTTTCTCAGCAAACCCAGCCAGGGCAATATGTACCGATGGGGCTGCTGCGCGCAGGCTTCGCCGAAAGGGGCTCTGTCGCATGTGGCTGCGCTACTGAAGCGTGGCCCGCTTGGAATGGCGCCCATTGCTCACGCAAGCGCGTGAGAGCGTTGCGCAGAAGCAGAAAATCTGACAGGCTAGGAAAGGGCGGAAATTGAGGGGGAAAGCGGGGGCGCTGATGTTCCCAGCGAAGTGGGGGCGGCGGGATGAGCCAAGCAGCCTGGCAACTCGGCCGCCCGCGCGTCCTCTGACTGTCGAGGGAGCTGCGCGGGGAGTGTCGAGCGAAAAGCGCAGAGCCATTGTGGATGTGACCCAGAGCCAGACCGTCGACTTCTTCTGTCTCATCGAAGAGTCGGGGAAAGCCGCCTGCAACTCCGCCGCACATGGGGAAGGCAGGAAGCTGCGGAAAGCCGCTCGGCTTTTCTTGGGGGACGTGATCATCTCCGAAGCCCTGTGGTCTTCGCCAAAGACTCAAAAGTGACCCGAGTCCGTGCGCGGGATAGTCCTCGCTGCGGCGACATGGCCGCCTTCGAAACTACATCACTTGACGCGCATGGCCCAAATGCATCCCATGCATGACGAAGGCACATCACAAAAGTAAGTAAAGCAGCGCAATGCCTATGCCTGGAGACCCTCATCATTTGAAAATATGCAGAGAGAATGGCCATATAGCAGCAAGCCGAGCGAGTAGTCTGTGTCAACGTCTGTGTCAACGTCTCGAGAGTTGTAGATCATGAAGGGACAGCACAGCAGAAGCCATTTGGGCAAAGCACAGCAGAAGCTCAAATTGTACTTGTTGAAATGTAGTATGAGTACCAGCATAATTTGTACAAATTCGCTTTCGCACACGACAAATTTTGATCTAGGAGCTACGGCACGGCTGGTCAACATGATCATCGGAGGTTGTCTCTGAGAAAAATACATAACCACCACGGAGCCCTCATCGATCTTGCGGCGGCTGACACGACCAACAGCTAACACTCGAAAAACGTACGGCGCAAAACCAACAACATGTTGCAAGCCGGCAAGGGCAACGTGCTCACGGGGTTTCACCTGCAGTCTCTGGAGCTCCGGCAGTACGAGCTGAACTATTTTATGATGGTTTTTGACAAGCTCGCCCAGGTCGCCGGTTTGCTCGCGGGCTTCAGCTCGACTCTGGTTACCATGGACATTGCGCGGTCAACCAACCTATCAAATGTAAAAATGTCTCGGTCTGGAAGAATGCAACTTGTCATGCTAAATCTGAATCATGTAAAAGTCTGTGTTGCATCATTACCAAAAGCTGTCCACTTTTGACGTAATCGAGAGGCAGTTTCTCATGCAGGATAGGCATGATAGAACTCTCACAGGATCTGTTATGCTATGTCCTACATGCCAGACCTCATGGGTCATGGAAAACGTGCATGACAAACCTGGCAATCTTCCAGACCCAGACATTTTTACATTTGATACAACCCACTGATTGTGCTCCTCTTCCTGACCGCCAGCTCGGGCGCGTTTGGCTTCAATTTGCTGGTAATACTGATCTCCACTCTGACCTGCCTCTGGGGCCCGGGAAAGGCGCTATCAAATGTAAAAATGTCTGGGTCTGGAAGATTCTGAGACTTGTCATGCATATTTTCCATGACCCACGATGATGTCGGTGATGCATGCCCTAGCATCACAGATTTTTTGAGGGCTTCGCGATGCCTATTCCGCATGACAGATACCCTCTCCGCGTAGCAAAAATTGCACTTCCTTTGCTGCTCATGCAATACAGATTTTTTTGGAATCCAACAGAAAAGAGAAAACCCAACAGAAAAGCACCACCAGCACCAGTAGCCACGGCAGAAGAGCAACCTCCAGCAAAAGGTCCGCCACCGAAGAAAGCAAAGGGGGCGGCCGGGCCGAAACCGAAGCCACCGGTAGCCGCGGCAGAGGAGCAACCCCCACCAAAGGCCACGGCACAGCAAAAAGCAAAAGGGGCAGCCGAGCCGAAACCGAAGGCACCGGAAGGCAAACCGCCGAAACCCAAGGCGAGCGGGACGAAGAGACTTACAGAGGAGTCGGAGGAGCAACCGGAGACGGTGAGCAAAAAACAGAAGCAAACCAGCAAAAAACAAGACGAAGCCAAACCGGCGAGAAACAAGCCACCGCCTAAACAGAGCAAGTCGCCAAAGCAGTCTGCTAGTTCCGTCGCGACGAACACCGCAGAAGTGGCACCACCGAAGGGCGAGCAAGCTGAGACGGGCGCGAGTCACGGAACGAAGCAACCGGCTGCGCAGAGAGATCGGAGGGGCCCGAAAGCGGCAAACAGGCTTGGCGGGGCAGCCGAAGTAGACAGGCAGGAAACAGTGGCAACAGAGAAAAAGGAAACACAACCGGTGAGGCCGCTGGGTTCCATGTTTACATCGACGAGCCAGTTCTCGATGGTCAGCGATTTGTTCCGCGCAGTGGAACGCATCCAGAACAACGGCAACCAGCCAGCCTCCTCCTCCTCCTCTTCCTCCTCATCCTCCTCATCCGCAAATGCGAAAACATAAAAAAAAAGAAGGACCCCAATTGTCGGACCCCGACAGATACCTCCCAACCCCTCCTCCCCACCTAGCAATAGTCCTCGCCCACGAAAAATACGAGGGCGCACGTACAACCAGGCGGAACGGAAAAACAAATAAGACACCCTGACGGCATCAAGTAGCAAACGACGACCACGGGCAGGCAGAAACCGTGGCGCGCGCGACGGCAAATCGACTGACGACAACAAGCGAGATTGCGAGATAACGAAACTGAAATCAAGCCAGTACTTGACTGAAATTCTGTACATGTAGAGTTGCACAAAGATGCAAAAAGGAAAGAAAGAAAAAGGAAAAAGTCAAACGATGTCCCTGCTCGAGACGGCCACTATCACCCGATGGCCCTGTTCGAACCCGGCGACGGCGAGGGGAGACGAGAGCTACCAAGCGGAGCGACACAAAGGAAAAGAGAGCAACCTTCAAAATACATGGCCTAACGTTCGCACAATTCCGCACTTTTGTCCTTGCTCCCCGAAAGGGGGTTTCCTGAGGGTGGGGGGGTGCGGGAAGTCCAAAAGCAAATGGAACGAAAGCCGCCTGCTAACGAAGCGATCATGAAAGAGAAGGCCACGGCAGCAGTGATGTCATGCTATCGATGTGGCCCGCGGGTGATTTCGGTCCCCTATTAGGCATGGGGTAGAACGAGCGTCATGCTACGCGAAGACTTGTCATGCTGAGTGAGCGCGTTAAGAACAGGCCCCACAGTCAAGGAGACAACAGCGGCAAAATGATCAGCCTTCGGGCGCGCGCGATGCTTGTTCCATCTGTTTTTCCGACGAGTCACTTCCTTCGCCAGGGCCTTGCTCAACCCTGGACCAGAACGAGTAGGACAGAGGACCCAAGAGGTAGGCCCTGTAGCGGAAAGCTGGAGCAAAACTAATTTTTTTTGAAAACGAACCCAATAGGAGCCGACCTGCGTGGATGGTTACAAAACAGGTAGCTTGACCCCAAATGGCAATGATCATTGGGAGCAGCAGAGCGCAGCAGGACCCCGGGACTGCAACAGCTCACCCCTGTTTTCACTTAGATATACGCAGTGCGCCGAGTATGCCACTACCTCGACCCCTCAAGAAAAGAAGTAGCCCCCCCAAGTACAAACTCGCCGTCCGCGATCAGGATCCCATGCGTACTAACCAACACTGTGCGAACCGAGATCCCGCGGGGCACAGGGTCTGGGCGGCTCGAAGCAGAACGCGCAGCACAAGCGGGAGACAACACATCCAAAGGTGGGGATGGTCTCAGGTCGTTCAGGTTCGCCAAGGGTTGCGTCTCGCTATCAGGGTTTCGCCAACTCCGCGGGGGCGTTGCGGGTATCTCCCTAAAACACCAAAACCGGCACAAATTGGGCCGGCAGTCCGGGTAATTGCTCACCAGCCGGTTTGTATGACGAAGAAGGTGCTCGACGAAGGAAGAAGTAAGCATGTAACTAGCACCTCCGGTTGGTAGAGCGATCGGCTACCGAGGCACGTCAGGGCGGCGTCGCTACTTCAATTCAAATTCAATCCAAATTCAGCATCACAAGTTGCATTCTTCCAGACCCAGACACTTTTACATTTGATAGGCGCTACTCGGGGACGACACCGAGCACGTGCACGCCACCATCGCGATCATGGAGCGGCTACAGTCGACGGTGGTATTTTCTCATACATCAGCATCAGTTGATGTCACCAGTGCGAAGCTTAAACCTATACTTACTTGCATACTTACACCGACCACTCATATCATTCTACTCGAACCCGGCCACTGATTTATTAGCGGTCCACCTAATATTCAGATTATCACTATCCCTAACCCTACCGAACTCGATCGTTCTTGCATGCGACTCCTACCTGCTCCAAGAATTTCATCCAAGAAACCCAGTTGAACGAACTTCATCTGCAGGTCCGCTTTTTCATTCTCGGTCTTTTTTCCTACTTCGCCGCGTCCATGATGATAACCTGGCTGCTGTTCGACTTCATCGCGGCGTTAACGGTTTCAATCTTTTTGGGCTTGACTTGCAGTGCGGTATTGCGCCAGATAGCCCTGCTGCGAAAGATTTTCGTTGGACAGAGTGGGAAAATTGTCACCGGGTATATTCGCGGGAATCCAACACAATCACAGCACGCAGGATGATAGGAAGAGCGTTTTTTTTGCAGCACAAACTTTTTCCAAAGGCAAAGCACACAAAACGGCATCGCCAGGCGTTGAGGTCTCGCCCTCCTTGTCAAGATAAAGCAGGGGGTGGCGATTCTGTAGTAGTACTACCACTGTTCGAAAAAACCGAAGCGTGACCCTGCATGTACCTGTCTCGGCAGGAGCATAAAAGTAGAACTACATTTTTGCTAGGTGTCAGCCTACCATTATTCGGAAGGATCATGTATTTTGCAGCCAGTACTAGGTACTCTAATCGATCTGGATCTAAGCAGCTGTGCCTGGCCTTTTACAGATACGAGGTACAATGCCGTAGGTGGAAAAAAACACTGCAATCGATTTCAATGTGTACAGGTATACCAATACCTACTTAAGTATGGCGGATCTTATTCTTGGCAAGATGAGATGAAGATCCAGAATTTCAATTTTAATGTTTTCCCAACACCTGTAGTCAGTCACGTTGCGCCATAGCCATAGTCCGATCCGGAAGATCTCATAGGACCAATTAGTTACGTCAAAGTGAAGCCGTCCTCCTAGGTAGATTACATATTCACTTCAATTTTTTAGCGCATTATGAGGGAGGACAGGCCATGATCTTCCGCTTGTTAACGGATCTCTACAAATGTCTCGTCTAAAGATGTGACTTGCATGAAGGAGGCGTACTAGGCGACTCGAGACAGCAGGACGTGCATTTCCATTTTTACACAGCAATAACAGTCGTAGACAGATCATATAACTCCTTCTGCTCGTCTTTCGCTCTAAATCTTCATCTTCCAAAATTTTAGTATCTGGAAACAAAATTTACTAATTTCAGCTTTTTGCTCCTTGCTTTACTTTTGCCTTTCGCTTGTAAGATAATTCATTGAAATAGGAAAATCTACTAATTTTTCCCTTTATTTTGCCTTACGCTTGTAAGATTCATTGAAATAAAAAATCCCTTTACAACTCTGTCGATATTTTGACCCATTTGCTCATGATATTGGTATCGGCCTCAAATAGAAAATTGTAAGAATATTCATCGTAGGTGTTAACATCTTATCTTGATCACAAACAGAAAAAGAATTTTTTCTCAGCCCGAAAATTATAAAATGCGTGGGGGCCGAAGAACAAATTCTCTCCACCGCCTGTACCTGGCGAAAGCTTTTGCCCTGGTGACAGCAGGTGTCGTTTTTTCCTTTCACCTTCATACCGTCAGCACTCGTGCAGCGCTGCGCGGTGTACGACCCGCACTTACAAGATCTGGAACTACAATCACTGATGCTGAGCGCGCAGAGGCGCTCGACAAAAATTCCGCGAAAATCCAGACGCAAGACATGCAGTTGACCTGGCTGCAGGGGGGAGTGGATCCCGCAAACAAGCACCAGGAGGCCGAGACACACCAGGAGCGCGCGCTGCAGGAGGTCAGCAGGGTCCGCACTATCCTTTCAAAAGCTTTGGGGCCAGCGCGTGTTTCGTGCGAAGCAACGGAAAAAATCTCAATCGAAAAATACATCCGGTCCGAACTTGCGGTGCAACACGCCTGCGAACTCTTGGATTATCCGATTCAGACGAGGTACTATTAGAGTGTTTTTTGTAGTATAGCTATAGTACTGCTAACTCCATCACGGTTCCTGTCAGCTTCAGATGATTGCGATCTTCAGTTCACAACTTCGAATCATAGAAGCTATCATTCAAACTGCTGAACATGCAAAAATCGCCCCACATAAAACAAACAGACTGCTGGAACACACGGAACATGGTCCGAAATTCCCTGTGCTGAAGGCGATGCGGGACGAAATCAAGCACTGCATGTTGGGCGACGGCGGCTGCTGCACAAGTAGCGACGTCGGCGCACAGACCGCGCTACCACAAGCAGGAGGCTCGAACATGAAACGGAAACGCTGCTTGTTCCCGGGTGCTGGTCTGCTCGAGAAGAGACGTGCTGATTTTCGGTTTGCGGAACAGTTGCAGAAGGAAACTAAGCAGCTTGTGGACGATCTGGTAAGGTACATGAGAACGGATCGCGCTAGATGGTTCCATCCGGACAAAGTGCACCCCTCACAGGCCGACAGGATAAAGATCCAGGCCGAGGAGGTCTATAAGAGATTGCAGAACAGCATGGGTGTCCTAATGCAAGGCCTTTATACAAGGGACACAGACCTGGATCTGCATCGCGGAAAGGTCTTGCGCGAGCTGATTGCGCACGATCTTGCGGCGAGAGATGATATACAAATAGTCGATGGTGTTGCAGTTGCTGCTGCGAGTAGCGAAGAGCAATACTGGAACAAAAAGCACAACTGGTGCAAGGAGAAGAAGGAACTGGGTTTCGGCAAAAAAGCGGCTGAATTTGGGAAACAACAGTACAATGACTCGCAAAACGGAATAAACGGGAACGGCGGAAATCCACTTCAGGACAACAGTCAACATGCCGCAACGAGTACTACTGGTACCTGCCGAGAAAACCTTCTTCCTGATAGACCCCTTAAGCGCGCACGTATTGTGTTTGCACTGCCCGTGTAATCGAGCCGATCGCTCTTCTCGTCCTGTTGCTGACGTCAAAGAACACCAACATGAACAAAAGGAGCGGGCGCGACGTCGACAGCCGCAAGTTCGGTAGATCGTTCGTCTGGAAGTTCGCCTACTTGTTCCAGAGGTGATTCTTCCTCCGGGTGGTGATTCGCGAACGCCGATAGCATCAGAGCAAGCGCCAGCGGTAAATTTGGATTTGGTAGTAGCGTGCTACAAGACACACACAGAAGATTTACTTACTTAGATTCGGCAGCCTGAACAAATGCAAATAATATATGATATCATTACCCAAAAAGAAAGAAATTCCTTAAAATTCCTGAAAACATCAGCAACGGCTATGCACTCCTCGACTTCGATTATAAAATTCTGTAAAAATAACAAGCTTAATTTCGGACATAGGTAAGAACTATTCGTGAAGAATTGAGATTACGACTACTTGCTATCTGTAGCTACCTCTGCATGAACATGAAGAATCTGTACAATAATTCGCGCACTTTTTACGTATCATGGTAAGTTTTGACTTTGCAAAAAACAAAGCTGAGCCACGAACGACGTCATGTGTTAGTTTGTATGATGCATAAGTCTCTGTAGGATGTCGATTTGCTAGAAGAACCGAATCAGACGAATAAATTGCGAAAAAAAAAACGAGCATGGTGTAGGGTAAAACATGCAAAAATGCCCCGTCTCCCCAACAGCTTTGCACTCGCATGCAGTTGGTATTGCTCTTGTTCAGAATCAGATTTATTCTGTAGGTTCGATCTTTTTTTCGTGGCCGCTCGTCACAAGGTACGTATTCTGTAGTTTCTCTCAGGTAAATTTTTTTAGAGATGTTCGCTCGTGGAGGCCTGGGCTTCCCAAATCATAACTATCATTCAATACAACGAAAACAAATATGATTCGTTCCCACGATCAAATTCTTTTCGAATGAATCACATGAATTCCAGATTTTAAGTTTTTCTTTTTGAATAATTTCGTAATTTTTTTTTGGATCCTCTAGTTGTAGTTCTATCTTCTCCAAGACAGAATTCTCATCACCATCGAACGAATCGATTTGAGGTCATATGAATTCTCTGAAAAGATTTATGTATGAATGTGTTGGGTGAATTTCTTGTGAAAATGATCCTGATAAATATCATATCTCTAGTCCTCGAAATTGTGATGGAATTCGGATGAAGAGATAAAGAATTTTTTTTTTAATTGGATGAATTCATGAATCTTCTTCTTCATCATGTGATCCATCGATTAGGATGATATTTCAATTAATTTTTTGGATTTCATGCATGGGAATAGGATGTTGATGGATGAGTGACATATAGGTCCCATCGGGTGGTCGGATCTACAAAAAAAAATGATTGAAAAGAATAAAGAACATGCATAGGATAGGTCGTGTCCTCAAATCTCTCTGTCCATCCATCGATCGAAATGAATTTATTCATTCGGAATGAGATTATTGAAATAGAAAATTCAATTGTGTCGAAAATGGGAATGAATCTGAAAAATTCTTCTTCCAAATTTTCATAATGATCTCTTCCGAATATATTTATTTCATCTCTATGTGAGGATGGGTCGAATTATATATTATGGATATTTTTTAAGAATCTTCAAAAATATCAAATTGATAAAGATTTATGGCTTGGATGGTAGTTAGAAATCCCGGCCGCGGATATTGTGTGGATATTATGACTCAAATGGAAAATGTGTGACAGTTTTTCTCTCGTCGCGGTCGATCTCTCTTGCCGACCCCCAGCCCCCCGCCCAAGGCCAGGGGTGGGCCGGGGATGGGCCAGGGGAGGGTCGGCCAGGGGCGGGGGGGGGTGGGGACCCCGTTCCGACCCCTGATCGCGGCCGACCCCGGTAAACGCCTGGCCTGGCCCCATGCATGTTGGCCGATTGCTCGTGGGTGGTCGGCCCATTTTTTCGTTGCAGCCTTGGGAATCACGCCTCCGCCTTGGCCTTGCGAGTCTGTCTGGCATGGAGGCCAGGTGCCGGGGACAGACTCCCAAGACTGCGGAGTTGGTGGGAGTCCCCTGTCCTGAAGGGCTCCCACTCACCTGTAGCAGTGGCCAGGAGCCTTCAGCCCTGGAAGGTTCGTTGGACAGGATTTCCTGGCCAGGCCTCCGTCTTGGGACTCCTTCTTCAAGGAGGCAAAAAAATGTTCGCGGACTGGCCAAAAAAAAGGTCCCGCGGATTTGTTGGACAGGCACGATTTGTGGCGCCCGTTTCCTGACCCAAAAAATCCACCATAGCGTGCGGGCGCGGATTTTTTGGTACAAATCCGCGACAAATCCGTGAGCCCGCCAATTTGAAATCCGCGGACCCCCTTTTTACAAATCCGCGGACCCCCTCCGCCGAGTCCGCGAATCGAGATCATGCGGAGACACCCCGGGCGGATTTTGCCTCTAAAAGCTCGCTAAAATTTCCGGGATTTCAAAAATTCCGGGCGCCCTCTCCGTCTTGCCGCGGTGATTCTCGTTCCAGACGAGTGGCAGGGCGCCCCGTCGCGCCCTGCCCAAGATCCCCGGGCTATTTTGCTTCGGAGGCCGGGCGGTTGGTCGGTGTTTCCTTGCGCCCCGGCGCTCTGCGATGTGATTTAAAATTTAAAAATTTGGGTTGGTTTCCGCTTCAAAGGGTTTCACCAGGTTGAAAAGTATCTTGGTTGTTATTTCGTGGATTGGCGTAGCTTTGGGGTTGCATAGGTGGCAAGGCGCTTGGGTCATAGATGGGGAAGCAGCCTGCACCACACAGATGCGAAGCGGCACGTGTTCCGCGCACGCCGCCTCCTCGCATCCCGAAGAAAGAAGTGTTTGTTTGTCGCTGAGCGGAAGACGATGTTCTCGCTTTCGAACATGAACATCATTTCCATCTCACAAACAAATGTCTTGAGCGTGTGGTCTTCCATGTTCTTCCCGTGAGCCGGAACCGGAAGAATCTTCCGGTTCGGCTTCCGGTTTTGGTGTCCCGGATTCTTCTATTCCATCTTCTAAAATCGCCAAACAGGCGATTTTCAATGGGATTTCGCCTACCCGGCCACTTTAGAGGACTTTTAGAAGTCCGAATCAGGCAGCCGGCCCGTGGCAAGCTATTTCGTTAATTCCTGGCTGAAGTTTGGCTAATCCCCAAAGCGAAGGAGGGCAGGCGCAAGAGGGGCCCGACTAGAAAACGCGCCGGGGGTGCCACCATACTTCCGGGGGCGCATAGCCATCGCGGGCGCCGCCCTCCAGGCACCCCCCCCGCGCCCCCCTAAAGGGGAGGCGGGCGCGCGCCGGGAAAGGCGCCACAGGGTGCCCCGGCACCGAAGAAAGGCCCAGGAGCCTGCGAAGCCTGCGCGCGGGGGGCCTCCACCAAATCACAACGGAGGCCGGAACGCGACCCCGGCGGGCCTGTTGTTCGTGGGTTTCCAGAGCGCCACCCCTTCAATCTTCGGGGCAAATTGGGAAAGGCACCGGTCGGGGGGAATCCATTCAAAGACGCAAAGGCCACGGGCGGGCGGGAACTGCGGGCGGGCGGCCTGCCGAGAAAAAGCAGGACAAGTGGTGGCAAATGGCGCCAACTGAAAACCCAATGCTCTGGCGGAGTGACTGCCCCCCGGGGGCAGGTTAATTCCTTGGGTTTTTGGGGTAATTTGTGGTCTAATTTATAGTCTAATCTGTAGTCTAATTTTTGGTCTAATTTCAAAACCAACGAAACCTTCCCGATTTCGTTGTGGTCAGATTAACCCCGGAAATTACCGCCGGGATTACCCTCTTCATTAGCCGCCCGGGATCGGGGTGGTGTTTGAAAGACCAAAAAGCCCCGGCCTCGCGCCTGCCTGATTTCCAGAGCCGGGCCCGCTGCGCGCTGCCCCCCATAAATGCAAAGGCGCCGGGCCCCGGTGGATTTGAGCCATGGCCACGAGGAGCAGCCCCTGTGTGCCAAACCACACCACAGGACCCCCCTCCCTTGCAAAGATACCGGACAAAGAAAAACCGAAGGCCCGGGCAAGGGCCCGACCCGAGGCATTCCCTGAGGTAAGGGAAAAGAGCGCCCGAGGGCAGGCCACCACCAAAAGCAAAGGCGCCGCGCGCGCGAAAAGGCCCAACGATAAGCGGCCCCCATCCCCAAGAGGACGGGGGAGAGCACACAACCAGGGGAGACGGCCCGGAAGCTTACGGCACCGACCCGGGAAAACAAAAAGCGGGGGCGCCACACTATGCCGCGCCCCCCTCCCCGAATGCGGCGCGTGCCCAAAGGGTGCCGCACCCAGCCAGCCGGCCCGCGATTCCCGGAATTAGTGACATTTTAAAAAAATTTTACTAGCGGAAAATGCCTCGGGCCGGCTGCCTGATCCGAAAATGGTCGGGCGGGCGAAAGAATTAGAGGAATTTTAGAGGACAGATTAGAGGCGCATTTTAGAGGGGAAATTAAAGGGGATTTTAAAGGGCTTTTTAGAAGGGCAAATTAGAGACGCGTTTTAGAGACGCGTTTTAGAGGCGCGTTTTAGAGACGCATTTCAGGGGAGCGTTTTAGAGACGCACTTTAGAGGCCACTTTTAGAGGCCACTTTTAGAGGACAATTTTAGAGGCCAGGATTAGAGGATAGATTTTAAAAGGTCGCTCCGCGCGACCGCGAAGTAGCGCCACCTCCATGGTCGCATCGGAATGTCGCGGAAAATGTTTGCAGCATTCCGATGCGAGTTCCATTGTGGTGCTGCCTCGTTCTGCCCCATCCTCTCCTCCACCGCCTACCTTTCTTGGGCTTGCCTTGTCCTCTATGGATGCTGCTCCCCTTGCGTCGTCTCTTTCGCTTTCAGCTTGGGTTGCTTCTCCGACTCCATCCTTCCGCTTGATCCTTGCGTGGGCAAATCGGAGTGAGGCTTTTTCGATAAAACCGGAAAAATTAGAGGGCTTTTAGAAGTGGAAACCGCCCGGGCGTTTTCCGCATGATCGAGAATCCGATCGGGATTGGCGCCTTGCCAAATGCCCTCGGGGGGCTTTATCAGGCTGCTATGGCCCATCCACGGCGATCATCAAAGGCGCGTCCGTCCACTTTGGGAGCTGGCGGGCCTCCGTGCCCTGGAACCTCCGGGGGGGGCCTTCCAGGCTGCTATGGCCCCGGTCGGGGAAGGGCTTGGGGGGGGACTGGGGGAGGGGCCACAGGGGTGGGCCAGGGGAGGGTGGGCCCGGGGTGGGCCAGGGGTCGGTGGGGCAGGGGGGGGTGAGCCAGGGGAGGGCGGGCCAGGGGTCGGTGGGGCAGGGGTGGGCCAGAGGAGGGCCAAGGGAGGGTGGGCGGCCAGGGTTGGGCCAGGGGTCGGTGGGGCAACCAGGGGTGGGCCAACCAGGGGCGGGCCAACCAGGGGCGGGCCAGCCAGGGGCGGGCCAACCAGGGGCGGACCACCAGGGGCGGGCCACCAGGGACCCAAATCCACACAATATCCGCGCGCTGTTATTCTAACGGGTGTCCAAGCTCTAAATAAAGATTCAAATTTTAGATTAAGACAAAGATTCAAATTTTTCTTTTTCCTAATTCCCATATTCATTTCCGAGATAATTTATCAATTCCAATGAATTTTTAAGTTTTTCGATAGAATATATAAAATATTTATCGAGAAAGAAAACAAAATATATCGATATATTCTCAGATGATATGCATCTCCGATGATAGAATAATTGTTGGACCGACCATATGAACACATGAAGGAATTCATAAATCGGCCAATTTCCATTGATTCATATTCCCAAAAGACTGCCGACAATTTCAGAAAATGTTCAGAATTATTTCATTCGAGATTTTTCTTTTCTCATGTGTTCTCATCGTTGCTTCTCGAAAAAGCATTTTGTCACAGAAAAAACTGACAGATTGTTTTTCAGCTTCACCATTCACAAGTTCAATGTGGCAACACAATAACCACACAAAATCTGGATTCAATAGAAATATCCTAATGAATCAAAACCCAAATGGATTATTTTATATTCCGACAATCAAACCAATGAAATTCTGAATTCCGATACCAAATCGAGAATATTATTCAACTTATCATAGATATCCACCGAAATCCGAATCCAAACTATTTTTGACAGAATGACAAGAGGATGAGAACGACGGACCACACCCAAACGACAATTTGAATCATGCCAGGACATGATGACCAGGCAGAAAGAAAGAAAACAATTAATGAATCGAATAACGATGCAGTCAATTATATAAGGATTTTCCGGCCGCGATTTGCGAGCAATGCGAGCAATGCGACAGCGATCCGAGGCCTTGCGAGTTGCGAGCGCGCGGATCTGTCGCAGGTCTTGCGAGTACTTCTCGCAACTTCTTCTGCGAGTGCTAACCCTCAGACCCTACCTCGAGGTCGTAGCCCTAATCCTATCGCTATCTATAGCCTACCTACCTAGTTCTAGCAGGCGGCGAAGCTGGCGTGGGTGTGTGTTCGTTGTCCTAGGCCAGTGCGCCGTCGTGTAGTTCGCGAATAACGCCGGTATGGTGCGAATTTCATTGCCGCGCACCTGGCTGCTGGCCGACCCTCGCGATTTGCGAGCAATGCGAGCAATGCGAGCAATGCGACAAAACGCGACCGGTTTGCGAGTCAATGCGAGTCGCATTGCTTATATAAATCTCTGACGATGTTAAACATTATTTCGATCCACATTCATCGGATTCTTGGAATCAGATCCATATCCAGATCCATATCCATTCTCTCATATCATGTTTGTCATGGATGGAGATTCAAAATATGATGGATCTATAATCATTATGTCCATCCTCACACATGAAAACCAACATGAACATCGGAAGATCCATGAAGAATAATTTTGTGAAAATGAGATGGTGATTGGTTAAGATAAAGATAAAGATTAAGATTATGACAGATGGTGTGTGTCGTCGGATATTCATATTAGATATTTATGTATCAAGATGTTGCAGCTTTCTGTTGGTTGTATTTCGTCAGGTTTCTCATGCTTGTCCAAATTCATGATCTTTTCTCAATTTCAATGTCAAAATGTGTTCTCGATTCCGCATCTGTAGATGTTCTCTGTGAAGATTTGTTATTATTTTTGCTTCCGTGTTTATTTTCAGTGCCAGACCTCGTTCTACTGAGTGGCTGATTGCTGCTGGGATTCGAATGCATCCCCAGCCTCGGGGTCTCATCGTAGTGCGCACCCATAATGCCTCGCGAATATGTTGAAGGCATGAAAGCCCCGGCCCGCCCCCGTGAGGAGGTACTATTTGCGGCCATCAGCATGTCCTCCTCGATGTTTGCCAGCCGCGCTTTCTGTTCCTTCCTCAATTTTTCCTGCACATTCGGCGCGAGCTCCACATCCAGTTCCGGATGAAATGTGGGTTGCGCGTTATGCATTGCAAACATGCAGCTTGCGTCTGGAAGAATGCAATAAACCTGGGATGCAGTTACTAGATACTGGAAATTCATCAAAAATCTGTGTTGCTTAGCCAGCAGAAGCTGTGCGATTTTTGTTTCCAGGACCAGGACGAGAGGGCATTTGATCTCAACGCGCTGATTACGATTTTTAGTCATGGATCGATAAGATCCTTGTTCGCAGAAAACTTTCAATGCTCTGTGTGCATTTTAGATCCCCTTGCAGATGCCGGAGCTGCATCTGCGTCACGGGTAAGTTTGCTTAGCTTTCGTCTTCCAGACGTAGATGACATATTTACATTTGATATGCGTAGCCATCGAAGGAAACCGCCCGGCCTTTTTCGTCGTATCCTGAGCAAAAACGTCCTTCCCCCCCGTGATACAGCTTTGCCGCTGCTGGAACATTTGTAATGCGCATCCCGATCATCATCATGGCCGGCATTTCCCATCGCGTTTTGGAATTTGTAATGCTGTAAACAGGATAAGGAGATGGATTGCTTATGGGGCCGCCATTGCATGCTATTAAACTGCACTATTGTCATGCGTGACTTCTAAAACAAAAACTTCTGGATTTGTGTTGCTGACTTCCAACTTAATAACGGCTGAGTCGGGGGACGTTTCTTCTTTACATTTGATATGTCGATGAAAATCTTCTGGCCGGGGGTGCCACGGAGGAGGAGCAGGATGATGAACGTATGTATTGCAAATATCCCTGGATGTCTGGAAGAAGACAAACTTGCGATGCGCATTTCAGAACACAGAAAAATCTCCCATGCATAGGTAGCAAATGCTGCCCACTTTCTGTCACCAAAGTGGGGATTTCTCATGCGGATTCGGCATTGCGGAAGCTTCTCGAAACCTGCGATGCTAGAGCTTCCATGCCAGACCTTCTGCGTCATGCAAAAACAGCATGACCCTTCCAGACCCAGACATTCTTACATTTGATAGAACGCGACGGGCCACAACACAAACATGCGGTCAACGACCCGCGGGTCCGTCGGCATTTCCTGCGGGTTTTGCTGGTTGTTGAATTCGTCCTGCGTTCCGTATCCACCTGCTCCCGGGCTGTTAAACTGAGAGCCTCCCCGGTTAAACCAGCTCCGGCCCCACATGTTGTTCATGCGCTGCCTGCGCCACATTTCCTCCTGCAACCTCCTTTGCTGCTCCATCTGCATCCGCACCCGCCAGTCCGCGTGGGTGCCGCCCGGGTTATTTGGATTGTTCCGAGGGTCGTTGGGGTAATTCCCCGCACCGTACGCACGTCTCCGCGCGTATTCCGCGGAGGAGTCCGCCGGGCCGCTCTGGTTTCGCCGCTGGTACTCTTGCCACGTGTAGTAGTCCGCCCCCGGCGGCGGCTGCCTTCGCTGACTTTCCTCATAGCTCCCGTCCTTGATGGATTCGTAGGCTTCCTGGATTTCCTTGAATTTGTGCACCGCTTCGGGGTTGTCCTTGTTCCGGTCGGGGTGGTACTTTTTCGCGAACTCGAGATACTTCTTCCTCAACTCCTCGGTGGTTGCCGACCGGGGCACGCCGAGAATACTGTACGGATCCTTCTGCTGGAAGTTGCGCAGGCACCGGGAAAAGAAAAGCATACTCGCATTGGCAATTGTGTTTTTCGATGTTGTTCAATATTTTTCATGGGTGATGTTGAAGTAAGAAAGTTGGTGTAGTCGGGGAAGTCACGATTAGGTTTAGAGCAGTATGCGTGATACATGTAGCAACAGGTGGAAAACAGCTATGCGCGTCGAATCGAACTTTCAGTTTCACTTTCATGCAGTGAGATCCATGAAAACTGTTGGCTTCCCGCAAGTACGAGGCGGCCAACAGCACCTTCACGGAGGCACTAGATTTCTGAGTCTCAAGGTCAAGTGTCTTCACTTCTTACTTTAACAAGAACGAACAATGCGGGTACTTCTTTTTAGTGTGTTAGTCCCGGGGCCCCTGCTGGGACTGCAAGAGCTCAGGGCCAATACTCACTCTCGTTGGGTGGCACTCTACCTGCGAAAAAAACCTTAGGAAGAACGCTACATGATGCGGATGAACAGCAGGGAGTTGTATCTGATGATTTTCTGCTGCTTCCGGTCCTGATCCTGAATGTTAACGCAAACGAGCCCGGCCTAAAAATCAATTCAAATCAATTTCAAACTAACTTCAAAGATTTTGAAAATTGAAAAATTCGACTTCATGGGAGCAGAAGGACGTTGCGCGCGGTCGGATGAAGTGGTGCTGCAGCTCTAGCCTGTATCACTGGATGGACAAGTTCTGCCGGTAGGCTAGTTTCGGCTTTTTCGAAGCCGGAACGACCCTCCGGAGAGGATGCAGAAAGAAAAAAAAACCTGAACTGTATGCATGGCATGGCTCCGATATGATATGCGAACTCAGAAGTCTTGCCTCCGATTCTGTGTAGCTGCTTTGCATGATCTTGCTGCGCTTGTTTTTATGCAGCGGAAGCAAGTGTTTGTATTCAGTTCCGCTTCCGGCATTGACAGGGAGCAACAAAGCCCACGGTTTGGCACGTACTCCGAAAGTGGTTCCAGTTTGAAAAGAGTTGCCTGGTATGATGCAGCGAATGCTGTTAAGCAGAAGTACTAGTCGAGCTGATTAGTAGTCGCGCTCTCTCGTCGGAGTCGAGACATTTTACAAATTGGCCTGAGCGAAGTGTCGCAATCGATACAAAAACAAAGCACGCACAGGAGAGGATCGCAAATTTGGTCGGCAAAGTTTGAACTCGGACTCGCAAAACAAAAGAACTCGTTTTCGCATAGGCTCGTATGCACGTACTAGCGCCGTCTGCAGCCTTCGTGTGTGTGTACTCCTCCTCCACGCCACAGGTTTCCGCTGTTACGTGCTAGTTCTTTTCGATAGTGGCGACGACCGGTAAACAACATGAGCGAAGCGGCTGCACAGCTTGCAGAGCTGCAGGGCGACTTTTTTGCGTTCGACGAACTTGGAGATGCGTCAACAAATTGGAACAACAATATTTCCGCCTCGCCTTCAGCATCTTCTACCTGGTCGGGAGCTGTGCCTGGGACCTCTGGCGGCGTCGATGATGTCTTTTCAAACGTGTCCACCGGCGGGGGCGATGCAGCGTTGCTGCTGGACTGGGGTGATCAGCACGAGTTTTCTGCGGCAAGCGATACCGGCGGTGCAGCTATTGGGGGAGGAGAGTTTTTTCAGTCGGGCAGCAACCAGACCATGTCGGAGCGGACAGCGACCTCGGACTCGCCCGGGGGTGTCGCCGACATGGAGGTCGATCTTCCTCCCGATGCGACGCGAGATCGAACGGTGGAGCCGTTCTTCAGCGGGGAGGCACGCGTCGACGTCCAATGGGAGCGGGCTGCCCTGTTTGCAAAAAAAGCAGGTGAACGAGAAGCAGGGAAAATAATCAGCAGTGGTGGAAACAGGTCGGCGGTGTTGACGCACATGTCCGACGCGACGCCGTGTGGGGCGAGATTGGGCGTCGACAGCCTTGGCAAAGCTGTCGGCGCGAATAAGCTGACGATCATCGACCGCGCTGCAAAATTCTTCGTCACAATAGTAACCCTGTCCTGGAAGGCGGGCCAGACTTGGAAGACGGTCACGCTGCCGTCGTCAACAATCCTCCAGCCTTCGAAAGTGGTTCAGGAGGGTCTCCTGAAGAATGAGGATAAGCAGATCGCGACTCTCCTGCAGGACAATCGCATACCGTCCCAACGGGTAGCGGACACCGTCGTGCGGGATTTGAAGAACGTCTTGTCGCATGCCGAAAAGTTTCCCCCCCTTCTCGTGCTCAACACGTCGAGCGATTTATCCGAACACACTTCTTTCAAGCAGCATGCTGGAACAAGATGCCTCCTCGATTTTGTCATGCGTATTGATTCTGGCGCGATCCTAGAGAAGCGGAATCAATTAGAACCACTACCCGCTCATGCTACAGTGCTTGCGTGACAAGCTTCTTCGTCTTCAGATCTAAGGTAAAAAAAGGGAACCAGGTGAGTGGAATGGTGCCCACTCATCATGCCATAACGCATGACAAATTCCGTTTTTTTTCCAAAAAAGGGAAAGGGAGAAGAAAGTGCCCAGCTTGTGATGCTTGATTATATGACTTATGTAAAGATGATTAGTGGCGCGATGCTTTACATGCGCTACGCTCCCGTCGCGCCAGGGTCCTATCTGGAGTTGTGTTGTCGTTGTTGTTGTACCAAGCAAAAAGAGCGATAGTATCAGTAAGCCCACGCCATTTTGGCATGAGTACGCTCTAAACAATCGAAGAGGTGTGGTTTCCCAGCATGCTGTGCTATTTTTCCATCCATATTTGCGCGGGCCGGACATGAATTTGACGCACCAGGCGACCGGGCTGATGTGCCAGGCCAAACACGCAGCTGCCGCACCAAAGGAATTCGTCAGAAGCGGCTCCGCCCATCACTTGGTGCATTTGCCGAGCCATTGCGAGGAACACGAGTGCGGTACAGCCCTGGAAGAGGCTGCGACCCTTTTCCTTTTGCGCTGCAACATCGACACGGAGAAGTGGGAAAAGAAGGTTTTTGTTACCGGGAAACTCATCGGGAAGCACCAGCTCGCCATCCAGTCGAACATGGGGCAGGAGTTTCCGAAGCGGGTGAAGGTTCCGGCCGGGCCATCGCGCTTCTCGCTTGTCAAACCGCCCGAGCTACCCGGTAGCAGCATGACGCCGCAAACAGCGGCGCTGCGGAAATTTCTCGCCGGAGGTGTTTACGGCGCAGCACGGGTTGCAGATTCGGGAACAGAAAAAGACCGCTCGTTGTCGGACCTCCTCCTCAACAAAATCAGCATCGATGGGAGTAAGAGTCTTGCTGTTGTCGTCTCGGACGAGGAGCTTAGCAGCTGGGGCGGGAGTGAGAAGGTGAAGGCGATGGCGATGGGGATTCTGGCGACCGCGACAAGGGGAATCAGGCCCCCAAGTTTCAGTAGGTGGATTCGCGCGGGGTCCGACATGGAGCGGGTTGTGGTGGCGGAGATGCTCGGGTGCCTGGTCAAGTCGTCGCTGCACTTGTCTTATCGTTTGCAAAAGGGTCGCGCGCGTCGCAATGCATATTCATACTCATCGGACGGAGTGGAAATCATGCATGACAGATTGAAATCTCCCCGCCTCTCCTACGTGTACGTTGAATCAGCATGACAAGTTTGAATTTCCTGTATGTTTCTGCGAAAATAATTTGAATCTGTAATGCAAGCGCAGTTGCCACAAGGACAAGTGCGATCCTTTTGCAGCGTATTGATCCGGAAGTGAGTGGGCTGGTGTAGAGGTTGCGGGGTCGATGGTTGTGGTCTGCGTCCTTTGTCGAGCTATCGAGCACTACGAGGGGCATGTGGCAAAGATCGAAAACGCCTCCTGTGGCGACGAAGCCTGCCACGACCGGTTCTACGCAGACCTGGACGCCGCGGAGGAGCTTTTGCACGTGGACACGTTGGGGGTTTTGTTGAAAATGGTGGAGCCAAAAATCTCGGCGGACATGATACAACGCTACAGCGCCGCCGGGCGACAGTCGTTGCAGGTTTTGGGTGCCGCTTTTTACAGCCGTGTTGTCAAGACTCCCTTCCACAAGCACTTCCAGTTTCTCCGTGGGTATGGCAAACTGCCGGAAAACGAGCGCGGTGCCTACTTGAAGCAATTTGCAAAGTACCCGCAGAAGCTTGAGACCGACAACCCCGCCTCCATCGCCCTCGTCCAGCTCCAGGAAATCTGCAAACTTTACCACGCCAACGAGGCGAGCGTGCGGCCGCAGGTCCTTCCCTTCAGTAGCGCCGTGGATTTTATGAATGAGGTGGCGGACGCAGCAGAGCAAATTTCGAAGACCACGATGCCGGTGGAACGCAAGCACGCCACACTGCAGCGCATGCAGGATTCCCGAAACCCGAAGGGGGTAGATGCGCTGGACGCGGAGAACGTCGGGCGCACATTGGCGCGGCAAACCGAAGAGAGGCTGACGGAGTTGGACGAAATTGATTCCTTCGAGCGGTGTGGCTGGGAGTTAGCCCGGTGCCGCGTAAAAATTCCGCAGGAATTTGCGCGCGCAGATCTCATGACAGGTTTCGGGGACCAGCCGCCGATGCCCATAGCAGAGGCCAACAAGAGCGCCAACCCCGAAACGCTCGGCGCCGACGCCTGGGAGGTCTACGTCGTGGAGGCGGCGGAGCACAACAAGGCCGCAAAGGAAGGGTTCGCAGCCTGGAAAGACGAGCGCAAGGAGCATTTTTTTCAAAACGCGGACCGCAACCACGCAAGAAAAATAGTACTGGGGGAGGAGTTGCAATTCTACGACCGCGTCAAGGCTGCGGTGCGGACACAGTGGCAGGACGGCACGTGCAAGGAGCGGGCAGCTGCGGTGAAAGAGCGGCTGTTTATGCCGCGGGCACAGCAATTCTCCCTCAACGCCGTGGAAATGTGGCGGAAGCCGCCCAATGACCTGGTGCGAACCGCGGTGGACCTGGCCAGGGTTACCAGTTTGCACAAGCCGGCTGCGAAGAAGGCGGCAAAAGAAACCCCGGACGACGAAGGGCAGGCTGGCGACGGGCAGCAGGCGCAGCAGGCTGCAAACTTTGACTACGATTGGGACGACCTGCAGATCCAAAT